GTTTACCTTCTTGCATATTACTTCCACACCCACACTCTTAAATTCCCTGCCCCCCCCTTCCCATTGTTGAGCTCCTCAAACAAACAGTGCTTCTCTCTCCTTTGCTGGCCTATGGGTGTTTTGTTTTTTCTGCCTGTAACCCTTCCTTCTTTCTGACTGTAACCCTTCACTTCCTTTGTTTGGCTAAATCATCCTTCAGGTTGCTTTCTTTGCAAAGTCCTCTCTGACTTCCTTTACCATCTCAGCTCGCCCCAGCTGCCCTGACTGAATGAGACGTTAACCTGTATTGCCACAGTTGCAACGGGATGGTTCCTCTATTGTAATACCCATCCAATCTCTCACTAGATCATATGCTCCACCTTGTTCACTTCTACAACCCCGGCGACAAATGTAAGTCTCAGCACAAAATAGTGTTTAGCTTCATAAACACGGGTTGGATTTTATTATTATTATTTTTTTAAAGATTTTATTTTTTGACAGAGAGAGACACAGCGAGAGACGGAACACAAGCAGGGGGAGTGGGAGAGGGAGAAGCAGACTTCCGGCTGAGCAGGGAGCCTGATGTGGGGCTCCATCCCAGGACCCTGGGATCATGACCTGAGCGGAAGGCAGACGCTTAACGACTGAGCCACCCAAGCGCCCCTATATTTTAAAGATTTTATTTATTTATTTGAGAGAGCACAGCAGGGGAAGGGGCAGAAGGAGAGGGGCAAGCAGACTCCTTGCCGAGCAGGGAGCCCGAAGCCAGGACCCTGAGATCATGACCTGAGCCAAAGTCAGATGCTTAACCGACTGAGCCACCCAGGGGCTCCTTGAATTGAATTTTATTTTATTTTTTAAGATTTATATTTATTCATTAGAGAGAGAGAGCACAAGCAAGGGGAGCAGCAGGCAGAGGGAGAGGGAGAAGCAGGGTCCCCACTGAGCAAGGAGCCCGATGTTGGGACTTGATCCCAGGACTCCGGGATCATGACCTGACTGGAAGGCAGACGCTTAACCAACTGAGCCACCCAGGTGCCACCCTTGAATTGAATTTTAATGCGTCAGTAGCCACAGAGGTCTTAGTCCCCTTGTTTATAACCTAGTCGTTCTGAGTAGGACTGGTAGGAAAGACGACATTCTACCAGGATTCTTTGGCTGAATTCTGATTTCTCCACTGTTTACTTACTGCTTTGGCAACCTGATTCAGCTAACAACTCTGACCTTTGTTGCCTCATTAACAGAAATGCTTGAACTTCCTGGAGGCAGATGATTTTTTTCTTTTTACCGGTTTACCGGTATTTTATGCATTGTTAGTCAATTACACCATGCCTCTTGTGTGATGATTATTCATGTTTTTTGGTACGTTTATATTTTTCTTACTGATTTGTGAGATACTTGATTCATATATACATATTTGCCATGTATTTTATAAATATTTTGACTTCATTTTTAATTTAAAATTAAAAAAATTTTTATGGCCATAGAAAAGCTTTTAATTTTTTTTCAACCATTTTACAATGTAAAATCCATTCTTAGTCCACTTGTACAAAAATAGGTAGGGGGCCAGATTTGGCCTGTAGGCATGGTCTGCCAACCTCTACACTAATATGCTCTTTAAATTTGAATGATCTTTGCATTCCTAGAATAAATACCACTTGATCATGAATATACTGCCAGTTTGTTTGTTTGTTTGTTTGTTTTTTAAAGATTTTATGTATTTATTTGACAGAGAGAGCAGGAGAGCACAAATAGGGGGAGCGGCAGAGGGAGAGGAAGAAGCAGGCACCCCACTGAGCAGGGAGGCCCCTGGGACCCTGGGATCACGACCTGAGCCAAAGGCACAGGCTTAGCCAACTGAGCCACCCAGGCGCCCCATACTGCCAGCTTTGATTTGCTAATGTTTTAGTTAGGAATTTTGTGTCTATATTCATAAATCAGATTGGTCTAGCAGAGATTTCAAACTAGTTATAGGGCAGAGATATATTTTACTTGGCCTACAAAATATTTTATTATGATTTTTTGAATGAATTGCCCATATTAAAAAATTGGGAGGTGTTAAATGAAAAATTCAAGATTTCTGGCTTTTCTTTTAAAAAAAGGAATGTGGCAAAACTGGGAGAATGTGGGCCCAATTTTGTCACATTTTTTATAGAGCTCCCCTATGAATGTTTTGTATTTCATTAATTTCTACTCTTATTTTTTAAAAGATTTTATTTATTTGAGAGAGAGAGAGAAGGAGCAGGAGGAGGGGGAGGGGCAAAAGGCGAGGGAGAAGCTGACGTCCCACGGAGCAGGGAGCCTGCCACGGTGGGGGGGGGGGGGGGGGGGGGGGGGGGGGGGGGCGGGAGGCGGGGGACGCCCGAGGGG